AAGGCCTAGATAAATATAGACTTCTACGTTTGGGGTTTTATTTCTCAGTTGATACAAGTAGGCGTTAAATATATAAAATCATGATATAGTAGTGTTTTAATGTGGGCCAATATCTGAATCTAATGGGATACATGTGTCTTAATACTAAATAACATCAAGATAGGAAGAGAAGTGTTCTCTTCATACTCTTTCTTTAGATGCTTCTTTCGCCCACGGTTATCAGCTTTTTTTCTGCAGATTGATTTATCCAGGTATGAAGCTATGCACCTGTCAGCCACAAAATTGTGCTGTCTGTACCTCATAAAAATTACATCTATAATCTGTATGCTGATGACACTGATGCCCAGATACCTTAGGAATTTTACATATAAGTTAATAGAAGGGGTGACATAATCTGTGCACAAACTATGAGTAACATACATAAGATAAGAAAATTACTTAGGACTTGATGTACAGTATGATTTAAATTGTTTTCAGAATATGCGTATAGTTGTAATGCTGACTTAAGCTTGAGTGTGAGCTTTCTTTTTTTTTTTTTTTTTTTTTTTTTTTAAATAAGTGGACAGGTTGGCTCTCGAAGTCCTTCTATGATCAGCAATGACTCAGAAACTTTAGAAGAATGTATGGTGTGTTCAGACATGAAGAGAGATACATTATTTGGCCCATGTGGACATATTGCTACCTGTTCCCTCTGCTCACCAAGGGTGAAGAAATGCCTCATCTGTAAAGAACAAGTTCAGTCTAGAACAAAGGTACTGAACACAGTTCTCACAGTTGAGATTTTTTTTTAAGAATTCACAGCAAAAAGGAGAGACTAAAAAAAAACCTACCCTGTCTCAAGTGCCATAGTTTCTCTCACGTGTTTCTCGCTGGATAAAGCAGAGTGCAGCATTTATTTGATATGGTCCCTTGTTCCACATTGCAAATGACAGAGGGCTAATGAGGACAGAGACATGATCTATGTAACTTAGGCAAGTGTCTGCAACTTTATTATAAGAATTACTAAGGTAGCAATGTCATGGGTCGAGTCACAGTCACCCAAACTTGTCAGCAGTCTTCCACCTCTTCAGTTCTCAAATTCAGAGCATCTGAACACGCCTTGGTCCGAACTCCATGCTAGGGATATCAGTGTGTAGTCAACTATATGACTAACCAGTAAGCCCCCTTTCCCCCCCCCTCCTTTTTTCTGCCTCTATATCAGAGGCGCCTGTGAGGAGCTGGCTTTAAGCAGGCTCCCCATGAGCACCAGATCCGCTTACCCCCGCCTCCCAGTGCTGCTGCCTATAATAGAGAAAGCAGTGTGGAGGGTGATGGGGGTAGGTGGAGCTAATGTGTGCAAGAAACCTGTTTTCAAGCCAGCTTCTTGCATGTATCAGCTCTGTGGACCTGTCTCCCTCCCTTCTCCTCCCCTTCCCCCTCCCCCAGTAGCAGGGGGCAGGCAGGAGCTGGTACTGGGGAGAGCCAACTTAAAAGCCGTTTCCCCCCAGCAGTGCCTCTGCGGTGCCATCTGCTTCACAACCCCACTCCCGATGCTGCTGCCTTTATTAGAGACAGCAATTGCTGTCTGCAGCAGGCCTCTGTATCAGAGGCAGCAGCACTGGGCAGCAGGCAGGTGGTCCATGAGAGGAGCTGGTTTTATACTGGCTTCCCTCACAGACTGACTTCACCTGCCACCCCGTGCTTCTGCTTCCCTCACACTGGCTCCCAGCCCCACCCCTGCCTCCAGGGACTGTTGAATAGTCATGTGACCACTAAGATTTCATATGGTTAGATGACTATTCAATTACTTGATATCTAACATCCCTACTCCATGCAAATCACTGCCAGAGGCATCCACCAGACATCATACAAATGCCTTGATCTCTCTCCAACAAAGTGTGGCTTACATTATGTTTACAAACAACAAGGAGTCCTGTGGCATTGTAAGACCAACAGATTTATTTGGGTATAAGCTTTCGTGGGTAAAAACCACTTAATTGGATGCATACCCTGACAAAGTGGTTTTCACCGATGAAAGCTGTTGTCCAGATAAATCTGTTAGTGCCACAGGACTCCTTACTGTTTTTGCAGATACAGACTAACACAGCTGCTCCTCTGAGACTTGTCCTTATATTTACATTAAAGGTGCATGACTTCTTTGGTACTGGGAGCACCAACAGAGCCCCCTCCCTCCATCAATTTTATCTGAGAGGAATGTAGTCCATGGCACTCTAGGACCAGACACACTGCATTTGTAGTCATGTGAATTGAAGAGAAAATAATTATATTATATGTTTGTGAAGTTTTTCCAAAATCCAAAGGCACCTGCAAAGTGCAAAGCATGCAGTTGCTTCAAAGGCCATGTGTGCCCCTGATCTCTGAGACTGTTAGACCTGTATTAATGATATATAGCAAACTACTTACATACAGAGTGTCAGACTGATAACATATGGTACTATTAAGTCTGGGAAAAAAACAGGGAGGAAAGGAGGGGCTTTGAAATGGCGGAGAATGGATCAGAAAAGTTTGCTTCCACCTGCTGCTATCTCTGTGGGTACCTTTCTCCCATCAGCCAGACAACCGCACCAATTGCCATAATTGGGTGTTGATCAAAGGAGGTCAGCGATTATTGTAGTGAGCATTGTTGCCCAGACGCTACCTTCTGGCCAGCCTCTCTGAAGGTGTAAGTAATTTTTCATTAAATAGACATTTTTCATAGTCCAGATTAAAATTTAGTTCTGCTAAACCAGTTTCCCAAATTGGCCTGCAGAAAGCTGGTGTTAGCTTTTTGATCTATGATTCCTACATAAGCAGTAGTGAAGAAAAAAAAGCATAAATAATGCCAACAACGACTCATAGATATAAATATGGTAATCTCCTATTAAATCCCACTTTAAGGTGATGAATCAGCTGGGCTTTTTTTCTTTTTCCTCCCTACTTTTTCTTTGTAAGTAAGCAAATGGAAATAAATGGAATAAATACAAAAAAGAGAAGATTCTTTCCCAGGTTATTCCTTACTGTTCTTCTCTGCAGATTGAAGAATGTGTGGTGTGCTCAGACAAAAAAGCAGCAGTACTCTTCCAGCCTTGTGGTCACATGTGTGCTTGTGAGAGTACGTATCCTTGGCAAGTAATACCTTTCAAAATAATGATTTTGCAACAAAAGATGTCTGTTAAAAATAGTTGTTAAAAATTCTTTTAAAATATTGACTTAACTACAGGCTATTTGAGTAAATTGACTTTTGGTTTGGTAATCAGAGCTTTGACATTAGTTGGAATGCAATAAAACCACCTGCCTGTAATAAAGTTTAATTATTTGGAGAACAGCTATCAGAACTCTAGCTGCTTAACCAGAAAACTGAGAAAGTAAATTTGGGTTTCATATATCTGCATTATTTTATTCTGACTAATCTAAGTTCTATTTTACATTTCTGCAAATAAATGAGCCTTAAAAAAATGTTTTTTGAGATCTTTACAAGTCGTATGATTCCTTTGTCAGGGCATCTAGCGGTGTGAATATAATTAAACCTTAGTAGGTATAACAATCAAACAATGCTTAAAAAGACACTTTTAAGTAAATCTTCCATTAACGCCATATATATATAAAGGTTCCAGCAAGAACTGTCTTTACCCAAGAGACTTAGAATGGTGCATATTTGAAAGAGAATCTGCTGCACCATGGATCACTCTGCTTGATGCGATGTATATGGTACAGCAACTGATTAGGAGAGAAAAAACACGAAAGACCCTCCAGAAACTTTCTCCTCTTTGTCAATAAGATGAGGATATAGTGATCATTTTGTCACCAGAACTTTCAAGAACTTATGGAATATCTTGCTGAAGTTTTACTGATGGTCAATAGTCTAGAAAACTGCTTTATTGATAATGATGGGTTGATATGATGGGTTTGCATACGATGGGAGGTAGCCCTCTCCATAAGCACTAGCTTAATTGATCTTGCTAAGGAAATCTGGCATTATTTCTATTGCTTTGCTGTGACTCAGAGGTCTGGCACATTTTCACTACCTTCACAGTCATCATGCTCCAGACTCTTTTCATTGTATGCAGTGGAGAGAGAATAGGTGTGAGAAGAGAGCTTTTGGATTACATCCCAAAGAAGTGGAAAGCAAGAACATAGATTACCATGGTGAAAGGTGTGATCAATCAAGTGCATATTGTCAATATCTGCTTTGTATTAGGAAGTGAAGATTCTAAACGTGGAAAGGTTTTTTCAGATTACTTCTTGTCAAATTTGAGGAAGGAATGTCCGCTGAATCAGAGGGTTAATGTGTGCCCCAGTACTCACTGAGAACTGCTTACAACTCTTACGTTGAGAACCAACACAGTGTTGCTGCAATGATGACATTGTTCTCTCCTTTAAAAAATTCCAACCTTTCTCCTGAGATGCAAGCAAAAGCTATAGATTTACCCTTCAAAGGCTGTGGCTAGACTCGACCTCTCTGTCAACAGAGAGATGTAGATTAGGCACATTGAAATTGCTAATGAAGCAGGAATTTAAATATCCCGCTCTTCATTAGCATAAACATGGCCGCCGCTTTTTTTTTCGAAACGGAGCTTCTTCGGGGAAAAAGTGGCAGATCCTGTATTCCTCAAAAAATGAGGTTTACAGGATCTGTTGAAAAAGGGTTTATTTTTGACAGATCCGCATCTAGACTGCCATTTTTTTCCCGAAAAAGCTCCGTTTTGGAAAAAAGTGGCAGCCATGTTTATGCTAATGAAGCGTGGGGTATTTAAATCGCTGCTTCTTTAGCAATTTCAACATGCATAATCTATATCTCTCTGTCAACAGAGGTGTAGTTTAGACGTACCCAAAGTGTTTGATTTCTTTTTGTAATAATTATGGACACTCATTGCATGTAAGTAAAACATGGAATATTTTTGGCTTGAAATAAAGACAAAAGGCATATTTTTATAGGTCATATACAGTGTAGTTTATGGATTCTTTGGATCCTAACTTCTGAATAGGCTTTGTGCTAATTTTCACATGATTTTTTGTAAACACATCCATCAGTGTTGTAAATACACATTATCATTTGATGTAATCTGTGGTTAAAATGAACAGATTAAACTCATGGATAGAAAAGCAGAATCAAAAGACTGGCTAGCTACTGAAAGTAAATTATCTATGCTTTTCCCAGACTGTGCAAGCCTGATGAAGAAGTGCGTGCAGTGCCGGGCAGTGGTTGAGCGGAGAGTGCCTTTCATTATGTGTTGTGGAGGGAAAGGCACAGATGATACCACTGATGACATTTGTGAGTGTTCTTCTTTTTTTTTCTCTAGTACTTCCATTCTTCTTTTGTTGGAGAAAAGAGTTTTTTTCTCTAATACTTCCATTCTTCTTTTGTTGGAGAAAAGAGGGTTGGACATATATCTCTTACGTCTTTTGTTTTGAAATAAAGTTTTAAAAAAAGTAATTTTGTATCTGACTTCTACCTAGTATTTGTCATTTGGCATATAGGAGAGTGGTAGATGCTATTTGCAGCAAAAATCATGTCTGAAAAGTGCCGTTTCAGTAACCAAGAAGCATGATACCAAACAAACTGAAACGTTACAAGAGTGTATATATGCCAGTGATGGTTTGAACCCTTCTCACTAACTTCCAGAACTTCCTCGCCATGTATCCGACACTTGGAATAAAGTCTAAGAATAAATGTTAATATAATTGAAATACACGAGTGAGCATACACACAAAAACCCATACAAATTACAAATATTAGCTAGGCTTCTTGGTCTCTGACTAATCAGAATCCCCAGAAAATAGAAATAGAACATTTGTCTAAGGTAAAGGTCACCAAATAATTTGTGGTGTCAGAATTATTCTGCCTTTTTCTGTTTGACTAGTTCTTAAACAGCTGATATTGTTCTTATATTTATTAACTTATTCTAAGGGTTATTTCGAGTTGCGTGAAAAAATATGTCTCTGGTTCATTGTATGCATTCAGTACTTGAAACTGATCTGTTAATTTAAATTGGAATACTTAAGTGATATACTAGTTTCCTGACTGTTGAGCATAAGTCTTCAGACTTACGCTCATTTCCAGTATGAACATTTAAGTTTAAAAATTAAAAATTCGAATTTTGAAACTTTCCACTTCTGCTGTTTCTGTCAGTAAACTTGTTTCCTGGAACATTCACAAAGTGAACATGAGTTGAAACAGAGTTGTTTGTTCAGAAACAATCTGAACAAATATTTGTATGATATTTTTAGCAGTATTTGTTCAGACCTAGACTGGAATTATCAAACAATAAAGCAATGTGGATATCTTGGTGTCTACATTGGTTTTTTGCCAAAAAATTTTCACCGGTGCAGCATCACTGGTTGGTAGCAACTATGAGGGCATTAGTGTAGACAGAGCTTCAAGTAACTGCTGGCATTTAAGCTGCCATGGTGAAGGAAATATTTGTCAAAAACTGAGGCTGATAAAGCTTCCCAATAAACATATTATTTTAGTTCAGGAATGGAATTCTAGCTAGTCATAATACATATAATTTGATTATCAAAATATATTTGCTAGAAATAACGTTCTTCAATAATTCAGATAAATAGGAATAGTGATTATTCTTTATTATGAGCGGTGCATAATGTATTCAGTGCTTTTAATATTATTCTCCTTTACATTACAGCAAGTGGAAACATTCCAGTTTTACAGAAAGACAAGGACAACACCAATGTCAATGCAGATGTACAGAAACTGCAACAGCAGTTACAAGACATAAAGGAACAGGTAAAAGTGCCACACGTTCCTTTATATTGAACACCAAAACAAAATAAGGAAAATCAGTTAAAACCCTTCAGTTCTTAATTTTTCATTAATCAAAGCCATTTTTATTCTGTGAAGTAAAGATGCGCTCTAGTGTGGCTAAAAAGTTGTGGTTTTTTTTTTGTTTTTTTGTTTGTAACTTATCTGACTTCTGTATGCACACATGGTCTTAATGAGTAGCAACATTTGACATTTCATTTCTTATCACACCTGTTTTATTGTAACTGAATTGACATACTTGACCCCAACAATAAATATAGGAATGAAAGGCGGCGAGGAATATTATCGCAATCTTTTGACCTCATAACAGTGTACAGTGAAGATCTTTGTTCACAGGACATCATTAAATATGTGCATTTTTCTTCACAAAACTGTATGCGCCCAGCTAGTGCAGGAGTTGTGAGCCTGTCTATTCAGAAACAAACCAGTTTTGGACACAAGTTGGCATTTAATGGGGTATGTGCAGTGGCAATGCATACACACTGTCAAATGAGTGATATTTATACATGTCTATAATATGAAAAATTGATAGGTATAAAACATTGCATATATAATTTTGAGATACAGTAATTACATTTCTGACTATATGGATTTTAAAGTAATTTAAATTTTTAAATTCTATGCTTGGAAAAGGAGGAAAAAATTTTAAAAACTTGGATAGATTTCGACTTTCAAAAGGCAAACTGAATATGGATGTTTCTGCAAAAACCTATAGTCCTCCTCTTACATTTTTTTAAATTACTTAATATGAAATGATTCGAACTAGCAACAACTATTCTCTTTACATATTGTGTAATATGAAAAAATCAAATACAGGCAGTCCCCGGGTTACATGGATCCGACTTACATCGGATCCCTACTTACAAACGGGGTGAGGCAACCCCCACTAGCTGCTTCCCCCCAGCAGACCAGGGAGACGTGGAGCGGCTTTTCTCAGCAGACACCTCAGTTTGAGAATAAAGGACTGAGGGAAGTGAGGTGTGGGAGAATAAAACTGAGCTCTGGAGAAATGTTTGGCTAGAGTTTCCCCTACAATGTATACCAGTTCCGACTTGCATACAAATTCAACTTAAGAACAAACCTACAGTCCCTATCTTGTACGTAACCCGGGGACTGCCTGTATTTCTTACATTCAGAAGTTACTATGAGCAAAATAGATAATATACGTATTAACATAAAGGACAAATGTTTTGTGTGGTGAATTATTAAATCTCCTGGGATTATGGAACATTATCTGTCTTGTACCATTGCACATGCTGCCTTCAACTACACTGCAATTTTTGGCCTGCTAACTCAGAGCTACCTGCTGAGAGGCGTGCACAGCTGCAGTGGAGATTTGCTTTTAAAATGTGACTGTCCTACCTTTGTCACAAATGAAATGTTTTGGTGAATGGAAAAAACTGATGAGAACTGAGGCTATGTTTACAGTTCATGGAAGATTGTTGCTGCCATGATCAATCTTCCGGAGTTCGATTTAGTGAGTCTAGTTAAGACCCACTAATTCGAACTCGGGGGAGAAGCCAATGGGAGTGATTGCTCCTGTCGGCCTCTCACTCTGGGGACACTACCCTGCTCGGCTTAAGGTAAAACGTCTCCGGCTACATATTTTACATCGTTGAAGTTGCATACCGTAAGCCGAGCTCCCGGGTCTAGTGTAGACCTGGCCTGACTCCTCTTTTGGATTTTGAGTAGCATATAATGCTTCAAAAATGGGTGACTTCTGAGCTAATCCAGACCACCCTGGCTGGCTGATACCGACCTACATGAAAATTCAGAGAAAGTTTTGGATCCCTAGTTCTTAGCCTACACCTGTAAGTGCCTTTGAAAATTTGAGACCTGATGTACTGTCAGATATTAACCGCAGAGGCAAACCTGTCAATAATAGTTACTCTTCCACCAGCAACTGGCTGACACCCACATTATTGAAAATCTTTATGTTCAACTCAAAAGCCGTTTCCAACCTAATAAGTGCCTGTATAAGGACAGGTATACTAAAACCTGCAGTTCAAAAAATGTTCTCACCAATAACATTCGGTAAATGTTCTTAATCTACTTTTCATTATTTTTCTTTTTAATTTCTTTCATTTTGGACAGTAAGAATAAGTTTGATTTTTTTTTATTTTATTTTTTTTACTTTTTGGTTCTTGAGCACTATGGTGTTCCAAGTTGCATATGATAGTTTAAATTCAGTCAATCATTTTCCATTGGAAATGTACCCAAAAAAAACATTAAAATTGCTTCTAGAGAGCTTACTTTTATAAAAATATTTCTGCATAAATCTAAATACTTTGTTTAGTGTGATTTGAATCCAGCCAATAATATATATGTGTACTGGTGTGAATGCAACTTTCCTTTCCAATTGGAAGTGATATTTCAGTATTTTTACTTCAAATATTATATTCAGAAGCAGTACTCCAAAACACATTTTGTAGTCCTTATCACAGTCTGTTTTTCTTTTCATACATCTGAAAAAAAAAGATTTGACATCATCGGGAAGTTCAGATGCATTTATCAGTGAGAGTAGGACAGTGTCTTATTGGTTTTGTTTTTCTACTTTTCTGGTCATCAAAAGTTAACTGTTTAACAAAAAATTAAATGTTCTTGTTTTTAGATCTTTATTGTTTGCATTTTTGCAGTACATTTTATTTTTAGGCTGACTTTCATGTCTGGTTTCTTTGCCTCTCAGCATAATGTAGATGACTGCTTGTTTCTCACTGTATCTTAACTGACTGCTATGTCAAGGAATTACCTTGTTGAAATGCAGCTTGTCTGCAATTCTAATTTGTTTCTCAGGGAACTGGCTGACCTTTCTCTTGTGGAACCTTTTAATTTATCTTCTAGGTGACTTTCTCTTGTGGAACCTTTTAATTTATCTTTTAGGTGACTTTTCTATTTATTGTTGGGAGAAGAGCTAAAGTATGTTGCAGGTGCTAGTTAATGGCTATTTTTCAACAGATTCTTTGGTTGTACCTTAAATATGTGCCTGAAGTTTATACAGAGTTCCATTTTAAACACATTTTTCTTTCAATTTCTGCCTTTAAAGCTGCACTCCTAATGGGACATTCAGTATTTGTGTGTTCTTAAAACTTCTTATTTGTTCTTTTCAGCAGGTATATCTACGTTTCAACTCATGTCTTCGATGATAATTTAATGTATTAGTGCAGCAACCTTTTAAAACCATTTCTGGTGCCAAGTACAAGTGAGGCCTGATGTCAGGAAAATCCACTCATGATGACCACATCGTTCTTCAGGGATTCCCTGAATGTTTACCATCATTGACTGAGATTGCAGTGTCCTCCACCACATTTCATACGTAATCACCACCATCTGTCTGTAATAAATATCTTATGTGTGTTCCTTCACCATACGTATGTCATTTCTTTTTCTTTAAAAATTAAACTTATTGTAATGTCACTGTGCACCTATATCTTGTGCCTGGAAACATGCTGTTCTCAGTAACAAAAGGTTGTTGTAGGTTCTTATGTCACCTACGTCAGACAAAAATATTCTGCTAAAATTGTCTTGTTTGCAATATCATACCCCAGTGATAATCTCATGTTGTTACTAAGACTTTTCCATACTCCCTTAACTGTGTCTGTGGTTTACAACTGATTAAAACTGACTGGGTGCTTCTATGGTGGTGTTTCAGAAAGAAGAAAATACTAATGTATAAAAAGAAATCAAATGCCTTCTCCAGGCACAGAATTTTCATTTGTTTCCCCTCAAAAAAATTTCCACCTAATTTATTCAGAAAGGGCTGAGGTGATGTACATCAAACTTTTGTGCTAAAGTAAGAGGCCAGATTAAAAGTGTAGTTGAAGTATCTGCCATGTTGTTTGCTGTTCTTGTTACAAAAGCAGGCGTAAGGCACTGATATTCGTAACTAGAGAGCAGGCAGGAAGGTTGATTGTTTTGTGCAAAGTTCCTTAAATCTGTTGCCATGTGAAGAAAATAAACTAAATCATGTATGACACTGAACAATTAAACTGGTCTCTAGAAATAAATATTCACCAGTTTTTACTATAAGTAGGAAAAACCTGGATGATGTGCTAGTGCTGCCATGCAATTAAAGAAAGACCTATTTTGTGAGTTTGAAATACACCAGGAAATTTCATCTAAATTGTGTGCTGCGTTGAAATAAGTAAACAAAAATTATTTTTTCCACCATTGCTTAGGCAGAATACACTTTTATAGAGTCTTATAATGTGCATATACATTTTCAAATTACAGTATATTTGAGAGAAACAGACCTCAAATCAAACCTTAGGGGTAAAGGACATACAGTGAGGAGGACTTGAATTCTGTCCTTGCAGGATGAGATTTAGGGTTTACATTCTGTGTTCCTTTCAAAAGAGATACTTAAGGACTATTAAATTACGCACATGCATTTCTAGAAAGCTACTTCAGGTTAATAAGTAATTAATGAAGAATTTCTCTGTACTTGGAGATTTTACTATACTGTGAATTATACGGCTGATACTTAGTTGTACCAGGTGAGGATTAGGCTTTGGTGAGGAATGGGCTGGATGGACTAATTTACAATCAGTCCTTTGCAAGATTTAGTGGAGAATGATTACATTTTGAGTTATTGAAAACTGTGACTAGATATGGTGATGCCATTACTAGCCCTGATAGCATTTGCTTATGAAATATGGTTGTTGAGAATTCATATTTTTTATATTGGCAAATTCATTCAAAAAGTTCAAAGATTTATCTGGCAGTCATTGTGTCTATACTGCAATAAAAACTTCTGGCATGAGTCTTAAAACTCACTGGTCTGGGCCTGCTGGGCTAAAAACCACAGTTACATATTTGGGTTTGGGCTGAGACCTATCCCTCTTACGGGGTTTCAGAGCCTAGGTTCTAGCCCAATCCCTACACTTCAATTTTTATCTCAGAGAGCCTGAATCCACTGACGTGGGACAGCCATGGCTATGTCAGAAGTCTCTTTTGCAGTGTAGATTTACCTATGAGATACCTTCTGGCAGTTCCTTAGATACACAGATTTCACTCAGATTGACAAAAGAGAGAATTGACCAAATTCTGATTTGAATTCTGTGTAAACACGAAGTCATGAGCTATTATAACTAGTAGTACGCTAAAGAATGTTTGTCCCTGCATTTAGCTTATTTCCATAGAAGGCATGCCTAAAATTTTGTTTCATTGTGTGGACGCTACTAAGGATATGTACACTTTTCCTTGTTGTAACAAACTACTTTAGTAAACCTGCAGTGATTCAAAGAGTAGATTTAAAAAAAAAAGTGCACAAGTGCAAGGTGATGGTGAAATAAATTTGTGTTTGAAATGTGGGCCACAGTTAATAAGTGTTCAGTTATGCATAGTTTATAAAGGGTTTACAACATCTGTTCAGTTATGAGCATGCTACAGTCATTAGCATGCAACTCAGGTGGTTATAAGCACACTATAGATGTCAGTTTAAGAACATGAGTTGAAACTCTTTGGTAGATGTAAGTTGTGGTTATAAGCAATCTGAACTATAACAATTGATAAATAGATTTTAATAATTAATGTGCCTTTTATAAACTAGTTATAAATGAAACTTTAATGTGATTATGGTGAAGGAACAAACATGTGCCCTTTGTAGTTGAATTTTTGCATGGTGGAGGACACTGCGGGCACAGTCAAGGATGTTTCTCTAAGGGACAAACTTTCATGAACATTTATAAGAGATCTGTTTGGGTAATGGGTCTCACTTTATGTTCAGTAGTAAAAACTGGTTTAAATGGTTTGTTGTGTGGATCTGAGTTAGGGTAAAAGGCTCAGCTAAGCTGAGCAGCACTCCATTGAAACATGAAATTTTCATAGATATTATCTGGATATCCAAAAAACAGAATGAGGGCAGAATATGGCCCTATACAAGTGATGATTCTTCTTTTACAAGTAACATTGGAAGTGCAGAATTAAAGCAGATATTGGAGTACACCAGTTTCTTTTATTCAGAAAGATGGTATTTCATATGTTGTTTGGTATATCTCTGGAAATACAGAGTTACTTAAGATTTGAAATCAGTGAGCAAATTGCTTCCCAGAAGAAAAGTGAAAATCAGTTCACAACTAGGCTACGTCTACACTGGCCCCTTCTTCGGAATAGCCATGCTAATTTAGAACTTTGGAATAGGGAAATGCGCGGGGGATTTAAATATCCCCCACAGGATTTAAATAAACATGGCTGCCGCTTTTTTTCCGGCTTGGGGAAAAGCCGGAAAAGAGCGTCCAGACTGGCGCGATCCTCCGGAATAAAGCCCTATTCCGGAGGATCTCTTATTCCTACTTTCAAGTATAAGAGATCCTCCGGAATAGGGCTTTATTCCGGAGGATCGCGCCAGTCTGGACGCTCTTTTCCGGCTTTTCCCCAAGCCAGAAAAAAAGCTGCGGCCATGTTTATTTAAATCCCCCGCGCATTTCCCTATTCCAAAGTTCTAAATTAGCATGGCTATTCCGAAGAAGGGGCCAGTGTAGACACAGCCCTATGGTTTTTAGCATGTATGTTGGGAGTATTAAATATTTAAAAAGCAAAATCATAGTCATACTATGTCTGAGTCCAGGAAGTGCTCGGTGTGTGTATTTGGGGAGGGGGGATGTAACTTAATAAGTAGAAATTTGAAGTATAGCTGGCAAATAATTTGTTCATTGAATTACATACACAAATATCTGTGCTTGGTAGATATCTCTGATTTCTTAAAGCTGTGCTACAAATTGCTTACTTAACTTTGCTGTAAACTTAAATGATGCCATCAGATTTTATAGAAAGCTACTGTAGGGTTGATGAAATATTTGGTGAAACATATATTTTAAGCTGAGGATTAAAATAGTAAGTTTTCTATTCTGTATTAATGTTAAAAAAGCAAATGGGTTATTGAATCTGTTGCAGTTCTATAATTTAATTTATCACAATAATCACTGTTCACTCAACAAATGCATATATTAAATTTTCTACAGTTAATAAAATGCATACTTGATACTGCTTTCTCATAATTGCTGTTCACTACCTAATTTATCAAAATCTTTTACAGACTATGTGCCCTGTTTGTTTGGATCGTCTGAAGAATATGATCTTTCTCTGTGGTCATGGAACATGTCAGCTTTGTGGAGACCGAATGAGTGAATGCCCTATATGTCGCAAGGCTATAGAACGAAGAATCCTCTTATATTAAACAATAAAACAAGTGTCTTCTGTTAGCTTATCAAATTGTCATACATTTTGGTCATGAAATCTCCATTAATTTGAAAGGCAGTTAAAGGTTCTAATGAAAAGATTTCTAATACTGCAGTATATATGTGCTGTATTGTAATTGCATTAAGGACTGAGCACACCAGAAAACAGTATTTGAATAGGCAACTTTTAGTTAAACTTTAGTTAAATCAAGAAACAGCTAACTCTCTTTCTCTTCCGCCCCCTTCAAGCCCCCTTCCGCCCCCTTCAAGCTCCAGGTATAAAGGACAATCTTGAGTTTCTGTTTTGGTCTCTCTAATGTTTTTATATGTATATATGGACTGCTATCACGTGATGCACATTTTATACTGCCAGTTGCTTTTAATTTTTTTTTTACACTCATGTTTGAAACCTCTTCAGCATATGTTCAGCTGACAAATGACAGAAAGTTATACCTCATAGTGGCATTGTTTTGAAAGGTACAGTAATGTGAAATCAGCACAATATAAGAAGTATTTAGTACCATACAGTTCCTATAAGATTACATCAGAATAACCACGTGGATAACTTTGACTGTAATGTGCACTATATTCTCAGTGTGGGTTTAGAGAAGAATGTCTGTGAAAAGAAGCACAAATTTGGTTTCAGAATGTACTTCAGTCTGATAGGATCAAATTACCCTAAATAAGGAACTTCTTAATCCTGTAGCAAAAAAACCCCTAAACTAATATATAAAATTATGAGAAGAGTGTACTGATTATTTTTCAACTACCTTGTAAAGAAAAACAAAGTGTGGCGTGGTTATCAATTTTGCATCTTAAGAGTATAGTTGATTAAAATCTTTGGAGGACAAGTGTATGATGAGAGCAGAAGGGAAATTATGGATCTCATGATATAAGGAAACAGTGCTATATTTTTTCTTTAGATTCTGTAGTAATCAGCTGTTCTTTCTCTGTTGTTGACTGTGCATTTGTTACATAAAGTCAGTCTTACAGAAAAATTATAGGAAAATAAAGAAGGTAAATTATATTTTGCTCGTTCATCTCAATAAAGTATTAATTTTAGAGCCCAGAGAGAACCTTTTAATAGCTAATATTAAGCAAGATAGTTTTCGTAAATTTGTGGCATTCCTAACACATGGTTAGGCTAGCTGAAACTAGTTGTTGGAGAAAGCAAGGAATTGTGTTGCAATTACACTCCTAGATCTTTGACTAGAACTACCAGCAGCTCCAAAACCCCAAATGAGCACAATTCAAATGTTCTTCAGGCTTTGGTCGGGGGGGACAGGAGTTAAGATTTCAGGAAAGTAGTTATATTTGGAGCTCTTACAGCCAAATGATGGTGCACAGAAGCAATTCAGCAGTTACCTGAATTACTGATTGAATAGAATATGCTGTCTTTTAGCCTTGATTTGAACAATTTATTTCAAGGACTGGGAAATAAACACTACATTCAGTTAGGTGCCTTACTTGCAGCTAACACCAGTCTCCTGTTGCATTTGGCAGGGACATGAAAACGGGAATTGGTCTGGGGAAGATCAAGGTGAGAATGAAGTAATAGTTTTCATTCTTCACTGGAAACTCACCTGCTTATACAATGCGTAGTCTTCTGAAGTTTGTGATAAACGTGTGTTGATCATCTGAATTCTGCAGACTTGAGGAAAAATCTCAAAAAGAATTTACCAATGTGTTTTAAGTTTTGATTGTGCATTTAGGAAACCTACATGGTAAAAGGAAACTCTACAGTGGTTTCTTAGAAAATCAGTACTTAATGCATTATCTAATAAAACAATCCATACCCCAACATTTCTGTTCCAACAAAACAGTTCCATGTTCTTTTTAATACATTTTTGAACTGGACAACGTAATTTTTCACTTGAGTCCATTCCAGTTTTCTGTTTGTTTTGATGTCCCAGCAGTCATATATGTACACCACATAGCTCACTCTGTGTGTTGTCATTTAGATAGCTTTCTGCTTTGCTGGTACTTTGAGCAAACTTTCTGCTTTGCTGGCACGTGTTCTAAAGTAGACAGATACCAGAAATTTTTATGTAAAATCTTTGATTGCTAATAAATCTCCTTAGTTTAGCAGACCTGCAACTGCTTTAGTTTCTTTAGCACCAGGAATTCTATATGCTTTTGGAGTTGCAGCCTTATTACCTGAGGCTTCTGAATTCTAAAGTTTGAGAGAAGCTAGACAGTTCTTACTCTCATTCTCTGTTCTTGGGTAATTAGAATAATTCCATTAGGGAAATGGTTTGGTAGCCCATGCTGCATGCACTTGCAGATTTTTCCTGGCTTGACATAAGGTTCATCTGGCTTCTATGGCTGGTTTTGCATAGCGGCAGGCTTCCATGTTCTCCTGTCAATCTCTCTCCAAAAGAACTAGTTTATTTTATATGGCACAACACTGGTCCCCTCTATATGAATCTCATTCTCTTTTTTCAGGTCTGTGACTTGGGTTTTTTAGCCCAGGGCAGATACATTTTTGAGCATTGTTTCATACTTAAATTATTCAGAAAGTATATCGTGCTAAGTTTTGTTAGCATTCAGCTCTGGGACAAACAAGTCAGTGGGTGTCAGAGGATTCCCTCAGCTAGCCTATCTTTTATGCGTGGTCTTTTCAGATTGTCTGACTAATTTGATCAAATGTTACTATATAATGATGCTAATGATCTAATGTAGGGATGGTCACGAGTAGTCGACTATGCTTATCTGGCAGTCGACTGGAGTATTGACTACTCATCTCTCCCCTCCCTC